AGAGAGCATGTGCAAAACGGTCATATTACTCTTGAATTTGTAAGCTCAAATAATCAATTAGCGGATATTTTTACCAAGCCTTTAAATGAAGAATGATTTTGCAAAATTAGGCTTGAACTTGGTATTATTCGTTGTGATGCATTTAAAAATGCATATTGATAGGGAGAGCATTTATGCAAAATTGTGTTCATATTTTTAGGAGGAGCTTTTTATGTTATTAATTTTTTTTTTTTTTATGATTCTAAAGAGGGAGAAGTTTAAGAAAAATTTGTTCTAAAAATGTTTCATGATTTATTGGTTTATTAATCCATGGATGTATCAACTGAGGGGGAGAAATTAATCTTTGAATGTTTTTTAAGTAAGTATGATATTTTGGATTTACTATGATGTCTATGTATTTTTCTTTGGAAGTTTGTCATCATCAAAAAGGAGGAGATTGTTGGCTTTTTGGCCTTAATCTCAAATTAATTAATTTTAATTAATTAATTAATTAATTAATGTTTTGATGATAACAAACTTAATTTTATTTATTGATTTTTTTGTATTTTAAAGTGTCCACAGTGTAGAGCTTGTTACAACGATTCCAATGACTATTATATCATCCAAATCGGAGCTCAAACGGAGAAGTTACGATCGAAATAAATTGGAAGGAAAAATACCCGAGAAGATGACGTAGACAGTTCGTAAGCTAACAAGTGACAAGCTTCTTTTTAAAAAATATATATAATATTGAAAAAGAAAAGAAAAAGATAAAAAAAAAATTTGAAAACTTACCGTTTTCTCACATATATATATTATTATTATTATTATTATTATATATTAATAATTAAAACAACTTGTCACATCACTTTTTATATATATATATATTTTTATTTTATTTTATCATTATATATATATATATATTATTCTTAATTTATTTTTTTAAAATTATCTCAACCCTTCATTCTTAATAATTAAGATCTAATGGTTTAAAATTAAACTTGATTTCTTTACCATTTTCTTCCCTCTATTTAAACTAAACTTCTCATTCAAAATCATACAACAATTCTCTTATTCTCAATCCTCCATAACTTCAAAATTCTCATTTGCTAATCTCTCCAAGTTCTCAATTTTTCTTTCCATCTTATTTGTGAGAGAAATTTATTGTTGTGAGGATTGAAATTTTTGTGAGCTCAAATTTGTATATTTACTCTATTTGAGAGTTTGTAAGTGTGTGTTTCAAAATCTTCAACTCATTGTAACGGTGTGATCCTCACCATGGAGAGGATCGTCTTTGCTCTTGTGAAGAGCAGTGTACCGATTTGAGTCAGAATTTCAATTTACAACCCAAGAGGTGCTTGGGAAGTGGAGTAGGACAGTTGTGCCGAACCACTATAAAAATTCCCGGTGTCAAATTTCTCTAACCCTCTATCTTATTTATTTTTGCAATTAATCTTAGAATTTGATTGTTTGCTTTAAATTTCTCTTGTTTGCCTTAGAATTCATTTTATCTTACTTTGTTAAAATTGCATATCTCAAAAAGTGTATTATTTTTGTTTAAATTGGGCCCATTTATTAAAAAGTTTATATTTTGTTAATTAAACTCTATTCCCCCCGCTACGGTTGCCATACTGATCCAACAAGGAAGCATATGAATGGTACATGCTTTGGAGCATGACATATAAAAGGCTCTAAAGCTTCTAGTGTAACAATCTATGATATTGTGCTACCCAAAAAATTAAGTAGAAAAAAAGTTAAAGCCAGGGAGACAAAAAAAGTTAAAGCCAGAGAGACAATGGGAGTTTAAATTGAAGCCAAAATACCTAACTCTCTTATTTAGCTTCAATAGATCCAAACATCCTTCAAGCTTACATCCCGAATGACAACCATGTAATTGGATCATGACATAGTAAACTAGACGAATTAAAAACATCAAACTAAAAACTGGTACATCATCCTAACTGCACGAACAAAACAACTCCTAATTTTAAGTCAAGACATTTAAAATCCTTGGTATTAGGCATCATTAATAAGAAGTTCAATCCAAAAAAATCTTAGAAAAAAGCTCTTCAAGGGTAAGAATTCCTAACCATGTCGCTGAGATATAAATTTCCTTGATATTTCTTTGGTGGCAATTAATAAGTATAAAATTTACAAAATAATAATTACCATAAACATACCAGTATATATAATTCAAACCAAAAAACAAGTGATGCTTATCCTTAATTTAATGAATTGTGGGTGTGGCGTGGCATGTCTTGAATGGAGATAGAGATATGTGAGATGGGCCACCGTCTACTGTGATGAAAACTGCAACACAAATTTAATCAAAGAAGAACAAACAAATAACTCCAACAAGACATGGGAAAGAGATGGTTATTTTTTATTCCATTAGAAGGTTTTCCACTGTTTCCATCACTACAAGTATGGGGAGGAAAAAATTATAAGTAAATTTACGTACCCCAAACATTCACCTAATTACCCAAAAGCCTAAATCCTACACCAACTCACACATAGCCCTCGTCTCATCTCTTCCCTTCCTTCTACCATGACCATCTGTGAAGTGTGTACCTTCTTCTATTTTTTTTCCAGATCAGTGTTTAATGGCCTATATCCTCTAAAAAATCATCGAGATGCATAAATATTTGATAACAAGATGTAAGGCCCTACTTTCTTTCACTATACAAACTTGAGCGCGAAAAGAAAACAAAGAAGACAAATATGAATTATAATAGAAGTGAAAATACAAGAGTTTGAAATGTACATCACGTTCAATTGAGTGTGATGCACAAGCTGGAAGAAGTAGAATGCACCTAGACCTGCACAAGTTGGGAGAAGAAGAAGAATGCTTCAACTTTCTTCCTAAAGCATAAATTAGACTATTAAATCAACTAAATCAGTGAACTCACGTCCCGTTCCTGGTCTCCAGCAAGCATATGGTTAACAAACCACACATTCATCCAAACTTCAGAACATGCTTTCAACCATCCACAAGTAAACTATATCAAGTCACATCAAATAAAAATTCTCAAACTAGGTCCAATAACCATAAATATAAGAGATATACACGAAAAATTGCACGCACACACGCCCCAATCTACTTTTACTTACAACACGCTCCAAGCCCTTAATTTGGATCAATTACTAGACAAGAAAAAGAAAATTCAGAACGTTATAACTCAAGTTTCGACCACTGAAAATTAATCGGAAAAGGGAACGAGAAGGTTGTTACCTACTTACCTTTATCGAATTAATTGGGGGTCTTTGTTTGAACTGTGGCAAAAGTGTTCGATACACAGATTTGGAATCGATTGACGCAAATGTGAGAGTGGGTACAGAAGATCGGAACTCTCAGATCTGGCCGGACTGCTGCAGAACCGAACTTGGCGTTGTGGTCACGGGCCTGTTTCGCCGTTACCTGCAAAGGAGGACGCCTTCCGGGTTCTCACCGCCACAGTATCCGCTGTTGGTCGGTAATTGTCAAACCGCTGCTGGGCACAGATGCCGCCGAAGAAGAAAGCCGAGGAAGCACGCTACTGGGTTCGTGCGCCATCGTTCGCCGATTAGGAGTTGCCGGAGACGACGCAGGGGGAGGGCTGGTGCGCCTGGTTTTCACGAAGATAAGGGATGGGAGGCTAGGAGGAAACGAAGAGAGAGAAGTTTTTAGGGCTTTTTTTTTTCCAAAGGCACAATTCCCTTTTTTTTTGTCAAAAAAAAAAAATTGGTTTAAATTAGGAAAGGATAAATTTTATTATAATAAATAAAGAAATTAGTAATTTATATTTAGTTACCTAAAAATGTTATGTATCAATGATAATTTATATGAAGATATTACATAGTTTAATCCAGTTATGGTCCATACGCATTCTATCCAGTTCTGGTCCATACGCTACTGCGTTTGGTTTCGGTTTAGTCCATACGCATTCTATCCAGTTCTGGTCGGTTTCTCAGGTTCTTTCACCCCTAATTTATATATTACTCCATATCCAATGATTATGGTCTATATATAGTTCAATCGACACATACACATATATATATTTTTTTAAAGAACAATCCACATATTTATTATGAAGACAGCTCTTTGTATATGACAACCATAAGAAATTAAGAACAGATAAAAAGTTCTAAGTTCCTAGGTTTGGGGATGTGCCATTTTTTAGTCACGTCGTATTGGCAATAGAATTCCATTATTCCTACCATTAATAATTAATAAAATATTGATAAATTAAAATATTATCTAACCACATGGTAACAATTTTTTTTTTTGAGAATGTAATTCGAACTATGCATCGAGTTGTGCTACTTGAACCATGTTCTAATTAACTTAACTATCTTACTAATAAGAAAAAAGGGGTGGGCGCACTGGGTGTTTCCGAGCAGCGAGGATAATATGACAAAATAAAGGGTAAAATATATTTTTGGGCCTTGAGATTATTTAAATTTAGTCTTAATTCAATTCTGAAGTTTAAAAAAATGACATGTTTTGTCCTTGAAGTTAAATTGACTTTAGTTTTTAATTGGTTCCTAAAGTTTGAATTTAGTTTATAATTGGGTCATCCATTTAAGTTTTTTAACAATAGAAGAAAAATAGGACAAAAGTAGTTGTAGACACTTATGTAAAGAAAAATTATGACTAAATTTTAATTTTTTTTTATAAAAAGATATATCTACTAAGTTTTTATTTTTAATTTTCTTGAGAAAAATTAGACTTGTTTCTACTTTCTTTCAAAAAGTTCCTATTAATATTCCTAAAAATTTGGGCAAGAATCTAATGAAATTTTTTTTCAAAACTAAGATTTAATTAAAAAATTTCTATCTCAAATTCAAAATTTTATGTTATAAAAAATTTAAAAGTTCATGAACCTAACTAGTTCTCTGCTAATTGCAACCATAAAATATTAAAATAATTAATAATATGTGTGTAAGATGAAGGAGTTAGGCGACGGTTTCTTTATTTTTTTTTTTACAAAGTACCAAAATTTCAAAGCCTGAAATAAACCATGATAGATTTTAGGAGATTTTGGACTTTTCAAACTTGCATGTGAGATTAATAATTTAGATTTCAAGTTTGAATTTAAGACTTCAAAACAAATATATATTTTCCAAAACAAGGAAGGAAACAATAATTCGAGGTTATATTTACAAGAGCATATTTCAACTGGTTAATTCATCTAGTTATGACCAAACAGATGTGAATTCCAATCCCATCAAACAGGAGAGACTATATTGTTAGAAATTTGAAACTACAGGAATTAAGGACCCGTTTGATAACTCTAATACGTAGTTTCAATTTTTTAACTTTTTAAAAATAGAAAACTATAAATGGTTACCAAACATGTTTGGTTTTTTGTTTAAAACAANCAAGAGAACACCCAACTGAGCCCAGCAGTTAGATAAGAACAACTTTCAACCAAAGCATTCATTAAGGAGGTACAATAGCAAAATGTTATAAAATTTTGTTTAAAACAAAAAAAAAAAACAAAAAATGGTTATTAAACATATATGGTTTTTGTTTTTTAAAAACAGAAAACCAAAAACCAAAAACTAGAATTAAAAAAACTAAAAACCAAAAATAGAAATGGTTATCAAACGAGCTCTAAATTATTATACAATAAAGTTGAATTTAAAATAGTTATCAATTTGAAAATACATAAACTACATTGTTACAAACTAAAGTTTAAGGATTATTATTTTATTGAAAGTATAGTGACCAATTGTGTTTTTTGACCAAAATAAAAATTATAATCAAGAGATCTTAGTTTAAGAAAACAATGAATTGCATTATAATCAAGATTTTGTGTGTTACTAGACTAACGTATGCTCATCGTTTTTATAAACGTATCGGATCAATTGATGCTCAATAAATCATGCATGAAAATCATATAACAATCCTAGAGCATTAAAAACTAAATAAATAAATAACTCATAAAAAACCACAAAGTTTAAATTAAATAAACAAATTGATAATTTAGAAAAATGTGACATTTGGTGACAGTTAAAAATTCAGAACCTTTCGTGACAGTTAAAAATTGTCATTGATGATAAAAAGTTCGTAAAAGTCCGTTTTTTCCCGCCAAAATCACGCCTCCACCGTTTAGTGACAATTTATAACTGTCATTTATTGAACAATTTTTTCAAATTTTCGTGACAGTTATAAACTGTCAATAATGATAAAAAAAAGTTCGTAAAAGTCCGTTTTTTCCCGCCAAAATCGCGCCTCCACCGTTTATTGACAATTTATAACTGTCATTGATTGAACCATTTTTTTCTAACTTTCATTTAACTGTCATAAATTTTAAAAAATCTGTAAACCAACGTTTTTTCCTGCCAAATTCGCGCTTGCAGCATTCGTGACAGTTAATTTTTTTTCCCAGCATTTTTTACTATTCATAACTGTAAGAGAAAGCCAGTTTTCTACTAGTGATTCAACTACAAACAAGTTCTTAAGTTAATCCGATTTAACAATAGAAAGTTTACATAGAAAAAGCTAAATGCTATAAAGACCATAATAAAAAATGGGAAAAAATATATAAATCTATAATAATGTAATATAAAAACTATATATACAATATAATAGCTTAAATAAAAAGTAATTATAAGTTTAAGATGGCATAAAATTTGTGCTATAATGACTATTTAACAGAATCAGAAAAATGCTATTACAAGTTTATGTTGACATTGTTATATAGTGTATGATAGCTTAAAAAAATAGCTATTATAGATTTAGATAGCACAAAAAAATAGTTATCTAAGTGGTTGAACTCCCCACCAAAATAGGAAGAAATGAGTTGAGATATGCCCAACAACTTCACATTGACTTGGATTGGGCTAATTTCGCTCAACTAAAACATTTGTGAAATGACTCTCGTGCTCTCCATGAGTGAAACGCACGTTTTTGAAAAAAGTGCCAAAAATGTGTCAGGCGCATTGTTCCCGCGAACAATGATTCTGTGAGTTTATGCCAACTTTTACCATGTTTTGCTCCAATTTTTCTCAAAACACCTTAGATTGCAAATTATCAATAAATATTCTCCTTATATTTTATATACAATATATATTTGATATACAGTGTATATTTGATATACAAGTAGATAGTGCTCCAGTAATGACCTAAATGGTCTATAGTACATGGGTAAGATTGGGTATCTTATCCTGGTAACACTATGGATATGGCTCACTTTGTAATAATTACAAACGACTTTATTCAGGTCGTTCATGTAAGGACATGCGAGTAAGGGTATCCTATACACTGAGTTTGTATAAAACCGGATCGCGAAATAATTAATTATTGGCTCTAACACCGTTAGTCAATAGATTGTTATCTCATAGGATGACCATGTAACTCAATCTTAATCATCAGCAAGTTATGGACTACTGTCTATAAGGGATTGTCCATTGATTTGTATGGGTGAGAATGCCCGGGTTGCCGACTCAATAATCCTACCATTTTGGGGACGAGATAAAGTTGGGAGCTGGGAACATAACTACGCAATATGGAATTCACTACATCCCGACTTTAGGGAAGTAGATCAGTGTTCCCTTAGATGTTGACTCTAGGACTTGAACAAGGACTCCACCCTCTCATTGGCTCGAGTGGGACTTCCGGTTTTTGGTCGGACCATAACCGGATTGTTCATTAGAGGAGCAGTAGTATTTAAGGAGCAGGATGTAACTCAGGGGTAAAATGGTAATTTGACCCTGCTTGAGTTACGAGTACTGACTGGTGGTTATGCTGAACGCACACACTAAGCGTGGTAACAATTCTATAGATGCAAGCGCACACCTGTCAGAGTAATATAAAATGGATGAAGTATCCAAGTATCGATCCTCGACGACTTCTAGATAATTTCCAAACTCTAAAAGTTTTAATGAATAGTGAACGTTGAAATGAGTGATTCTTGTAAAATGGGAAGTGGTCACAAATAATGGTTTTGGATTTGGGATTTGGTCTTATAATGGTAAAACCTAGCCCGAATTACTTCAAGTTAGCCAACAAAGAATCAAGGACACGCTAAGGACGATATGCATTTTACTTTAGGAACCAACGACTACGCTTTTCACTTGACTTATGTCTAAGCAAGTTCAAAGTCCTAAGGCATTCCCTAATAT